GGACTTCATGTTTGCAAAGCAGGTGCTCTACCGCTTGAGCCACTCCTCCAGTCCATTTTGCTCTGGTTATTTGGGAAATGGAACCTCTCAAACTATTTGCCCAGTCTGACCTAGAACCATGCTCCTCCTAATCTCAGTCTTCAGAGTGCTAGGATTACAGGAGTAAGCCACCATTGCAGGGCTTTGAACTTTTTTAACTGTGGCCCACAGCAAAAGTATTTCTTACTGACACAGCAAAACCAAAATTTAGTAAATGATGTTTACTATTTGATGTACTGTGATATCTCACTTTGCATTTTTCTTTTTAAAAATTCTGGTCAGAACCAAATCAATTTCATGACCAACCTGTTAAAACCTGAAGTTTGACACACACTGAACTAGAGAAAAGCAAACATTAATGAAACTGTCTGCTTTCTCATAAAAAGAAACCTTTATAGTCCCACCTACTAGTCACCAACATGGATTTGCTGAACTAAAAGAAAATAAAATTTTTTTAAACTACTGCATCTTAAACTGAGTATAATAGTGAATTCAGTCATAATGACAGCAGCCCAAGAGTGTTCTCAAAGAACATCCAAGTAACTATTCCATGAAAACACAGGCATTCAGTTACTAAATAAGACTGTTACTTACTACCTCTCTGGGGTCAATCTCCAAAGATGTGAGAGTAGTGATAATGCCATTAAAGTTTATACTAAGATTACTGTTACACCAGGAACACATAAAACAAATATACTTTTTTTAAATCATGAAAGAAAAACAAAGTAGAAATCTAACATTCCAAGTATTCTCTGACAACATAGTTACTTCAGTGTATTAATAGTGAAAGTCTATTCCTCAGTATGTATATATTTTTTCTCCCTCTGTAAATTTACTGATAAGGACTGGTCATCCTGGTAAGGGAGGGGGGGGAAAGTAAATGTTATAAATTGATAAGAGAAGTTCCAGAAAGTTAGCAGACTCCCAAATCAAAGATTAGAAAAAAAGCAATAGCAAAATAAAAAAAAGACCAGCATGCTGTCCTGCAGTCTGTAGGTGGTTAATTAAGTGTCTGCTGGACTAATTAACAGTATAAATGAAATGGATGCTCTTAAAATTTGTTCAGCCATCCCAATCATATTTAACATAAAAGACCTGGAAATTAATGCCAGATCCCAAGGAGACTGACTAAGATATACAACCCATCAGGACCAACTCATGTTTTCTTCTCTGTTCTGTTGCTACCTCAAAGAAAAGGTCACATCCTTAGGTAGAAATGACAGAGATCAGGCATAAGTGTACTTGGAAACAAGTTCAACATTCATTTATGATCACTGTACATACAACCATCTGTATATTACATGATAAAAAGTTATGAAGTTTGCAGAAGAAACTAAAGTAAAACCATATTTCATCTAATTGAAGTTGTAAAGGGCTATAAAAAACTAAAAATTCAACCTATGTTCATTAAAAAACAAAATTTTAAAGTACAATTTAAACTAGCAGTTCTCTATATAGGCACACAGCAGAGACCTCAGTATAGGGAAAATGGGTAAAACTATAAACCTGGCAAATGGGCAAGAGGTTTGTTCACATTTTGAAATCTAGACACACAAAGCATTACAAATCATGAGATGATATAAAATTATTCATAGTAAAGTGCCAGTTATTTCTAGAAAATAGAACTAGAAGTAATAATAGTATTACAATTTTACTGAAGATTTAAAATTCAGATTCTGTGGGCAGAATACATTTAAAGACAGTATAAATTTATACATAAATTTAAAGACAATATACTATTGTTTATTTTAAAACAAAATAAAAAACAAAGTTTCTAACACCAAATAAAGAATCTTTATTTGTTCTTTTCATTTACAGACACTTAGCTGTATTAATTTTTCGGAAGAGATTTAAGTTTTAATTTTGTTTGGATAAAAAATAGGACTAATAAAAGTATACTAAGGACTTGAATCTTAAGATCATTTTAAAGGCTGCCTACAGAATATCCCTCTAGCAATAAGAATATCTTTTAATACCTGAATTTCTAAATAATGTGCAAAGAAAGCTAACTACTGATACTTTCAGGAGGGAAGAAAAATGAACACATTCACCTACTATATAAGGAAGAACAAAGGTTTCTTTAAATATATCTACCGTTTTTTTACAAGTTCCTTTACTAGCCCATGATAAAACTACTGTATTAGTTCTGATGTAACTGAACTACTCAGGGACCCACGTACTTACTAGTCACTTACTCCTCTCATAGCACTTACTCATTCTGTTATCTCCATTACAAACATACCGTATCATATCCCTGTGTGTGCTTGAAGATGTCCTACTTTAATAACACTTGCCAAAAGGAAACTTATCTCTTCTCTGAAAATGCAGTCTAGATCATTCACAGTAATTTACAGGGGTGGGTTGTTTCTTTGTTTTCAACTTAGAAAACCCTCCTATACCCCATCAGACTTAAAATTCAGGTTATTATAAAAATAATACACCATGAGAAGCAGTGTATCTTATGATTATGGGACAAGCCAAATATCTGAATCAAAATCCTGATTTATTTTCTTACTATTTCTTTACTTCAGTTTGTCAACTGGAAAATGGAATTATGACAGTACCTACTTCACAAGGTTGTGATGAAGATACAATGATTCAACACATGTAAAGTACATTGAACAATATATGCCAAACAGTAAATTCTGTAAGTATTAGCTGTTATTAAACTATTATTATGACCCCCCATTCTCCACAGCATCTAGTCATACCTTATATACACGCAAGTGCTCAATAGTTTATTTCTAATTTCAAATTTACCCAACAAAGGTAATTTACCCAACAAAAGTAAATTTCTAATTTATCTAGCAAAGGTAATCCCCTAGCTCTAGCATTCAGGGACTTGGTAAACAGATCCATGTTTACTTTATCAACATCCTTTACAATTTTATATTTTCATTCTGCCTCTTCTACTCTTTATCAGCCTAAAGATCTATTTATAATCATTGGGTTTTTTCTTCACAGGGAAACTGTTTTCTTGATTCATGTTGGCTGCCTATCTCCATATCACCAGTTCCTTTTTTTTGACCCATGGCTTCAGTGGGTGATAAATTATGGAAAACAAATAAAGTCCTGTCCATAGATACCAGGCTACTAAAAGTATGTCCTAGTTAATACAGTACAGTAAAGCAAGACTAATATCTGACTGATCTACACTGTATTACTTTTAAAAAAATTAGCTTTAATTAGTCGAAGTCTTATCAAAGGATAAAATAACCTATTGTGGCTGCCAAAATTGGGACCAAGTTAGGCCTTAGTATGATTCTTTTATTTATGAAAATATGAAGAGATTTTTTTTTAAAAAGCTTAAGTTTGCTAATATCGGTAACTATGCCTACTCTTACATAAGTTTTGACCTATATCTTATTATTTATTTATTTTGCAGAGACAGAGTAGAATGCTGGACTTCACACAGGGAATTTAAGTTTCTCAGGCCAGGCCTTCTACTCTAACATCATTAACAAGCGGATGTTGTAAGAGCGTAGAGAAAACGTGGCCTGTCTGGTTTCACAGTTTAATTACTGATTGGCAAATAATGTGACATCTGAACAATCGTTATTTATTCACCTTGTTTCCTGTTTAAAGAAATTTTGCCAGAAAACTGATTATGGGCACATAGAACATAGGATCAGAATATTAAGACTTAGCAAAGAAGAAAAAAATCTCTGAGTGGTAAGATTAGGAGAAATTATTCTTTATACTTTTAGGTATTTCCTCAAATGTTCTAACAAAACATACATACATATATTGGATATTTTATGCGACAACTCTGTAAAAGAAAATACAATGTATATAATGTAATCTTTATACAGATTTTTCACAAATATAAAAAGGAACCTTTTATGAACTACAAAATTCTACAGAATAATGTTACAACTGTCCAGAGCCTAAAACAGTATCAAACACAATGCAACTAATGAATTTGTTGAATGCATCTCAATTTTTTAAAGATAATGTAACTTAAAAGTGTTATCAGAATACAAAGTATATTTTAAATAACACAGCCTAAATATGTTCACAAAATCATGACTGCCTCATTTACTTCACAAATAAAACTTTGGGTTAAACCATGAAGTTTACAATATCATGCAGTAAATTCAAAGTAATATGGCTCATAAATGAAGTCATCTAGGTAAGAGATTTTTTTCTTAAAATATATTTTTTTCCAGAACAAATGCCAACCAATCTTAAGAGTAATCAATTTATAGAAAATGAATAAAGGGTAGTTTAATTGACACACGTAATTAGTTTAAGGAGACTGAGCGAGTATCTGCCAAAAGATTTGCACAATTACTGAATGCTTTTCAGTTTTCTAAAACTACTGAGTTGTTTTTGTTTTTTTGATGTGTAAAAAGCAGCATAAATGTGTTATTTCAAATTTTACAAGATACCTGTGGAAGGCAATGTAGCATGCTAATCAGGTAAAATATGTATCTTAAATGAGAAATGTTAAAATAAAAATGTGTTCCTCTTTAGTGCCACTTTAAACTGCTCTAAAATATAGCTAAGAGCTTTTACTACAGTTTTACTTTATGATGTAAAAATCTACATGGCAAGTGGCAGCTGCTGAAATACAATAATACAGAAACACTTTTTGATTTCTCCGTAAATTAAAGGAAACATAAGAAGAGAGTTCTTTCTTAGGTGCCAGACAACACAACTTTAGCTAGCTGTAAAAGCAGCTTAATTCATTTTCATGGTTAAACAGAAAGAGGATTTTCACACAGAAGATGGAGTCAGAGCCCGATGTGATCTGAAGCAGTACTAATCTGCACAGAAAAAACAATCAGGGACAATACAGAACATTCTGAAGGTTGCATTTTCCCCCACTAACATCACAGGCAACTACACAACACACTGCAGCACTTAAAGGACAGCCAAGAATCTGCTTAAACTAGAGAACCGCCCGGCCACATGCAAAACATACCAACAGAGAATTCACAGCAAAGGGATGGCATTACCTCTTTTATGTAATTCCCTCAGGGGAATATTGTCTCCTCCCCCGTCATATGGCAAATAGGGATCAGAAGAAGCATCCATGATTAGAATTTTTAAAAAGTAGAGGAAAAAAAAGAGAAAGAAAAAGAAAAGCTTGCTAGCTTAAAAAGACAGTGGCATTTTTCCCACCCCTGCTGCAGCAGGCAAGGGAGATGCCATATTTGATGAGGATTAGAACTGTACAGTTCCACTCACTGAAGCAACTGGGTTCTTCCACAGTGGATGATGTCATCAAAGGGAAATTATTGCAGCCTGGTTGCTAGTGGCTACAATCTAGCAAGGCTTAGAAGGCGGCACAGCCTTCTTAATCAGGTCTTGCTACGTAGGATGATGACTAAGCGCCAAGTACAACAGACTAAACTGGTTTGGGAATTTCAAAGCACTCACGATACACAGCTTCAACAGAATCAGCCACAAGTGTAGTAAAACAATAGAAACATTATTGCTTTTTGATCCTAAGATAAATGTAAGGAAAAGTATTTAATTCAAAAATATAAAAAGGTAATTCTAGGTGTAGGCAATGTCCCTATTCATTTCTAATGTAGAAAGATAGGAGGCACACTAATAAAGCCATGTGTTTTTATAATGTAAATGTACTAATTGTATGCTATAATGCCATATGGATCATAAAAACTAAAACACATTGAAGGTTTTCTCAAGAGACTTGGTTTTAAGTCTATTTTAAATTGTCTAAAATGCACAACAGCCTTCCACTGAGGATTAGAATCCTCAATAACCGAAAAGTAGAATATATCATTTACTAATTCCCTCCAGCAGCCTCTTGTTTCCTTCCTTCAAGGAACTAGGTGGTTAAGATAGTCTAGCATTGGAAGAGAAAGGAAAAAACTTATCAGCACATGAACAACTATTGTGTATGTGTGTAAACTATGCAAAAAAAAAAGTTTACTAAGCAGGAGATTTTCTTCTTTCTTATCCTCCTAGGTTTTCCTAGCTGCTTTAAAATATATATACTTTGAACAAAATATTTATCAAAGTTAGGCACTCTCTTTGCTAAAATTTTTTATAAAATTCAGAAATAAAACTTTTTTGTTAGAAAATGTCATTCCAAGCAAAACTGAGCTCATTTGTGACCAGATTTCAAAATTTTACGACTATCTCTGAGGTGATTTTTCTAGACTGGAATATTATTTTTCTAAAATACCTGTTATGTAGTGACATTAAATGAAAAGGTACTGTCCATTAGAGACAATACTATCTTACTGGTGGGGGGGGCTATAAAATGTTTTCTTCAATACTGAATGAGAAAACCTCTAAGGTCTACTCCAACTCAAATTGTATACATGAAAACAGCAGATAAAGAAGGAAAGACAGAGATCTCAGAAGGCAGTAAAGAGACAAATTGTATTCAATTTGCCTATTACATTTTAGTTATTTGGTCCTTTTCTTAAATCAATTATATAGGAGCAGTTTCTATATTTCAAAAAGTTTGAACCTCAGACAAACAGCTTCTTACGAAGTCCACATGGGATTTGGGAGACAGGATTCCAGGAACGGAATACAGACTAAAATTACTACGACAGGAATAGTTCATCTAATCCTGATGTTGGCTATTAAAATTTGTGACAGAATAGGAGGTAGTAGGGTTTGGTTTTTTTTGTTTTGTTTTTCAATTTTTCTTGCAAAGTTATTTTAAAGGAGGAAAGCTTTGACAAAGTTAATTTTACTAAATTAGTTTAATGTAAATTTGGTCGTTTATGGTTCTTTCCTATGTTCTACTACCCTAAGATTTTTCAAAAACTATATATTGCCTAGCATTTATAATATATAGTTTTATGACACTATGTTCTCACACACCTTTACCTCTCTAAATTTTCCTGGTATTTGTAGGCACTCACCTGACTTGGTTTTCCTGATCTACAACTTGGTCATAAAGAGTGAAAATGAGAGAGGAGAGGGGGTGGCCCAAACAATATATACACGTGTAAGTAAATGTTAAAAAAAAAAAAAGTGAAAATGACAGCTAAGTTTAATTAGAGGGAGAATATCCTACCCTGCAAAATGCTGGCAAGGCTGTGTAAGTTTTGAGGCCATATTTGATTTATTAAGATAAAAAATAATTTGTATACAATTAATTTTAGAATGAACAATTATTGAGTTTTAGTTTTTTAAATAAACATTACCTTTGTAATAATAAATGTTAAGTTTTTTTTTTATTTTAAAAGTAAGCAAATCTCTTATGCTTCTGGGGTCCACAGAAGCTACTTTCTCTTAAAGAATCATTAGGTAGGCTGCAATGCTTTCCAATCGTACACAGAAAAGAACAAAGTACACTGGAAGGTGTGGCAAAAGAGAACTCTGGCACGGATTAGGTTTTGCTAGGATTGTAACTGCTGAATTACAATCAGGGTGGGGCTGAAGGAGAAGTGCAGAAAGTAAAGTCAAGAATTTCTATGTACAGGTTGGTGAAAAGGGTCAGGATAAACCCAAAACACTAAAATGGTAGTACACCTAAGGATGTACAAATTCAAAAGGGGAAGGTATTTCTATTTTCAGATGCATCCTAGATTCAAGTTATCAACTTGACAGGATTCTGAATAAGTCACAATTTCGCTATATCTTACCTGCAAATGGGACAAGGGTCAAGAATAAAGGACAAGCGCATCATAATGTAAGGTTCTTCTGATACTAGTGATCTACTTAAACTAAAACCATAGTTTTAAGAAATATGTAAATTTCAAAAGAAAAACTTTTTGCTTTAAACCTACCAATTTTCAGAAAACACAAGAACATAGGAATGAAACCAGGAAAACCCAACTAGGAAACAAACAGCCTAATTTCTTCAATAATTGGTAAGGGAAGAACCAACACATTTTTTTAAAGACTTAAAAGACATATCAATCAATTTTACTTTGTTTTGCTTTTTGGTGGTACTGGGATTTGAACTCAGGACCTCCTACTTGCTTGGCAGGCACTCTACCACTTGAGCCGAGCCCAAAGCCCTGGTTTTCTTTTTTGAGGCAGCGTCTCTCACAGACTGGCCACACACTGATTCGTGATCTTCCTACCTCAGCCTCCTGAGTGCTGGGATTACAAGCAAATGCCCCCATGCTGGGCTCAATTTTGACGTACATGTTTGAACAATGGGGGAAATGTGAAACACAGATATTATTTTCAGAAATGAATATCTACCTATATAAAATGATATTTCAGAATTATTTCAAAACAATCAAGGAGGGAGTTGAGATGAAACAAAATTGTCCTGCAGTTGATAATTATCTAAACAAAGTGATGAGGAGAGAAAGAAAATAATCTTCTCTATACTGACAGTCTTTAAAAAATGGAGACACAGATTAATGAAAAAAATATATCCTTTCCTCTTCAAGTGCACATTAGTATTAGAAGCAGCAGGTTAACAACTGTAGCCTACAGTTGGTTAGTATGGATATGTTAGATTTGCATTTGGACACACTGTATGGTATTAAGCTTTAGCTTGCATTGCATTGTCAGTTCTCTTCCCTAAGAAAAAGTATTAGGAGAGGAAAAAAGACATACCAAAGCTTTTTAAGGACAAGAATTTAAATGCTACAAACTTAGATGTAAAGTTATTGTGGCACTAAACAAAGAAGAGCTGAAAATCCAAAGAAATGACATGCCAGAAAATAAATTGAAAAAACAAAATAGCTTTGTAATACAACTCATAAACATAAAAAGTTTTAGTTTTCCACATGGCTATCTATTTAACCAAATAACCTATCACAGAATTGAAAATACAAAGTTTTCTTTCACAAACATCAGATAAAAGTCACTTTTTCAAAATCAGAACTAAAAATTGCTAGTATTTTTTCAGGGGGTAGAACTGGAGTTTAAACTCAGGGCTTCACCCTTGCAAAGCAGGCTTTCTACTGCTTGGGTCACAACTCCAGTCCATTTGCTCTGGTTATTTTAGAGATGGGTGGGAAGAAGAGGAGGGTCTCCTGAACTATTTGTCCAGGCTGGCCTCAAACTGAGATCCTGACAATCTCAGCTTCCCAAGTAGCTATGATTATAGGCATGAGTCACTGGTGCCCAGCTGCTCATATTTTTTAATACCTAAGCAATTCCTTCTCAAGAGATATGTCAAACACACTCATACAGGAACACAAGACACAGGACTAAGTAAATATTTTAGAGTTATAATTGTATAATTGTTAGGAATATTTAAATCCCAAAATATGAATACTTACATTAAATGTAAGTAAACTAAATGCTCCAGATAAGAGATAAACACTATCTAACTGGATTTTCAAAATCCAACTATATGATTATAAGGGTCTCAACTGAAACACATGGATGAAAAATGACTCAAAAGCAACTGGCACTAAGGAATGAGGTCATGAGGTCATGGCAAAGTGCTTTGCCTAGCATGTGCAAGGCCCTGAACTCAATCCCCAGTACTGCAAAAAACAACAACAAAAAAAGAAGAAGGATTTCTAAAACATATCATGCAATGGGCTGGGGATGTAACTCAATGGTAGAACACTTGCCTTTCATGTGCAAGGCACCAGGTATAGTCTCCAGCACTGAGAGAAAAAAGAAGTATACCATGCAAACTGTAACCCCCCTCAAAAAAAGGCAGGGGGCAATATCAAAGACAAGTTGAAGGATGTAGAGCACTTGCCTAGGAAGTCTAAGCCCCTGAGTTCAATTCCCACTACTGGAAAAATAGGAACATCAACAACAAAAATAAAAGTAAATTTTAGGTAAATAAATATAATTGGAAATAAAGAGCCATTTAAAAAATAAAAGTCATACAATTCACCAGGAAGATAGAACCTACTAACATGGGAATCAAAGTATCTATAACACAAATTGACAAAATAAGTTAATAGATAAATCTACAAATTTTGTGAAAAATTCTTAACATATCACTATCAAATACTTAATAGGAACAAGGAGAAAAAAATCAGGACGGAAAGAATTATTTTATCAGATTAACAAAAGTATATAGAAAACACCGTAACCAAAACCTCACTCACTCTCACAAGCTCGCACTCACTCACACGCTCTCTCTTTCTTACACACACTTCCTCTCCTTTTCATGGTATATATGGAACATTAAGAAAACTTGACTTTTTCCTGGGCCGCAATGCAAGTTAGAAAAAAACCTCAACACATTGAGATCACACAGTGTATATCTTCTCATCACAATAAAATAATGTTCTTAATTACTTAAAATTATAACCAAAACTTCCCCATATGTTTGGAAATTATGAACTACATCTAAGTAAGCCAGAGTAGATACTGCTGTAAAAATTTAAAGT